GATCTTCATCCCCATGCTCATCCATAAAAATGAATTGCGGGCCATTAGTGAAAAGCTTCGATTCCGGGTACAAGCTGCTGAAATGGGATTCCTGGGACGAGTCGCAGGCCTTGCGCGTCTCGACAAGGTCAGGAGTACAGATGTCCGAGGAATCCATTGTGTGAATCCGCTGCCTCTCTAGATTGAGAAGTCACAGCTGCGACCGATAAGCAGGCCCTTCGAATGTTTTCAGAAAGAAAGACGAAACAGTTACTGATTGTTGAAGCAAAAGGCCGAAGACCCCGAAGCTTGCCAAGAATGACCTGAGGCAAATGTATCAGCAGAATGTGCTCCAGAGTCGGGTTATCTTCACCGAAGCTCAAACATTAACACCGGCTCAAAAACGGAATTATGGAAGACATTAGAAGAACGGGGACGGTGCTTGCGCCACTTCAAAAACTGAAAAGGTTTATACATCTTAGCGGCGATATTAAAAACCAGCAGTATGCCGGTGAACCCATAAGATCGGGATTTATTTTCCTGCATTAAATGCCATTTTAATGCAACGATTCATTTGCAATGCCACATGATTGTATTGCACCTTCAAAGATGTTCTGAACTTCAATGGCTACTTTTTGACTTGCTTCATGCACTGCATAGTAATATCATGCAATGCTGTTTTGCTATCAGCTAACAAAGGTAACATTAATTTAACAGTCAGTAATTGAAGCCATAAGTAATGAAGTCTTTATTGCACGATTTGCAAACACCTGCCCGCGTGATCCTTGCCCAACTTGCAACTTGTTTTGTTCATATATAGTGCTTGGCAAAAGAAAGTGTCACAATTCATAGAAACGTAAGACTGAAGCCAGAAAAGCTGTATGCTTTCTCTGATCACACGGAATTGAGCTGATTTTCTCACGTGTCCTTTTGTTTCTGATCGGAATGACTAGTCTTTGATAAACTTCGGTGTTCTTTTCGACAGTACTTTCTAGTAGATGATAAAGAATGACATGTCTTCCTGTCAGATCTCAAGTTTAGATAAACTTCAACCAGACCATCTGCTGCATTTTCGGTATGTTGTGTAATTAGTCATTTGCGATGGTTGTTTCTTCGCGTTACGTGAAAAACAACAGCTCGTGAAAAGCACGGGTACTTATCTTTAACCTAAGAGAATTTCTTTTGCAATGCCAGTAGCTTGAACATCAAGGAGGCCAACAGCATGATCGTGAATGCTGGTAATGTCCATATTTGGGTCGATGCTCCATTTCTTCTTTAATTCGTAAATATAACTATGTTAGCAGTCAAAGATATCGTGCCTATCACAACACTTTTTCCATTATTCTCTTGTTCATGCCTTCCTTTGTCACAGTGCTCTTTCTAAGTCAAAGAATAAATCGTTCCATCTCTTTGGAGAGCAACCCATTGGCCTGTTGCGATTCCGCGGGTATCACTTGACAATAACGGTTACCCATCGGCGGTCAATGGATCAATTATTATGCCTAGTCCATCACATTTTGCTTTCTTGCTTACCACTATAGTATCTTTCACTCTGATTTGATATACGACATATGCACTGGGATGTTTTCATGAAGTTAGTCTCTCAACTTCCTTCCTTCTATGGCTCTTCCAGAAACAGATAAATGACATCCATCCTCTTTCATCAGTGAACATGTCTTACCGCAACCGCGGGCAATACGACAGGGCTGAAGAAGTAGGCTTGTATTTATCTGTCAGAATCTCCAAGTAGGATATCCCTGATGGAACTGAAAGCCAACCAGCTTTCTGAGCCAAGTTTCAGCCTCATTGCATCGTGTTTTAACCTCAAGGCTCAGAATAGATGTAGCTTTAACTTCATCTACAGTCATCCCATTGACCGTTAATTGATTCTTCCGCAGAGCAGCAAATTGCGCCTACTTTGCTTTGATAGACTGATTTCAGATCTGATCTTTCAGCGTTCGAGTTCTTGATGTTCAGTGACACTTTTTGTAATCAGCACAACGTCATCAACATAACTGATTTGACTGATCCGCTCTTCGGTGACTTTTGTTCTTTTTCAACGCAATTCCCCTAACGATTATTTCCAGATAGATCTCAAAAAGCATGGTAGAAGTTCTACCTCCTTGCCTCATGCCTTTTAGGACTCAAGCACTCAAGCCGTTGGCTAGAAGTCAAAATCATCTCGATTGTGCTAAATAGCTTTATATTACCCTATGTTAAGTTAGCACCCCATTGAAGCAGTGAAATTCCTCAACTGAAACGTTTCTCAGGAAGTGCAGCAGTAACTTAATGTATGGAGTCGTGTGTGCACATCTGTGTACCTCATCTTATACAACATCTGACTTTCCGCTTCCGAAGGGTACTGCGAATAAACAAACCACAATTAAATGATTCTGTCGGTGAAGAAGGTAAAGAAAATTGCCGTTTTCATATTCGAAAAATAAAATGTCCAGAACGGAAGCCATGAAGGCAGAAATTGAATAATTTTATTAGGAATAACTTAATAAGGAAATGAAAAATTCTGTGTTTAGAAATAAAAAAATAATATTGATCAGTAATTTACGTAAAAGACTAATAACCGCTGCACTCAATTCAACCAAGAATGACCAATAGCATTGGATTCTTCGTAATGACA